ATTCCGATGGAAGTGTTTGATTTCAGGAAAGTAAAGATGGACCCTGTGTAGGAACACGTCAAGATGGGCACTACCATTTCCGAAAATATTCTGAGGTGCTAAAAGAATCAACCGATTTCGCGTCAGCAATTATAGGCGAGCTCGAAACGAAACCAGGTACCAAGCTGATTTTACTCCTTTTTTCCTAATCCGAAAACACCAAAGCTTCTCTACGAGCTTCCTGGAAACTAAGGCAACTTCTCAAGCCCGAAAGTTTATAAGCATAGGAGCTAGTGCTGTAAAATAGATGGGGTACAGCACTAAGTACTACTCAGTGGTTACTAAATCTGAGCCGTAGAAACTAACTCTAACTTAAACTCTAATACCTACTTCAGTCAGTTACTTCTGGGCGCTCACCCAACCACTTAAGTGCCTTTCAGTCAGTTACTGTATTGGCTGAACGGATATTCGGTTCATTCATGGTGCAGACTTGAAAAGAGAATAAATAACATACTGTAGGTTACGGTATGATTACTGATTTTCAGGTGATCGAATAGGGATATACGCCCAAAATCGTGCTGAATGGTTGGTCACTGCTTTGGGTTGTGTCCAACAGTCGATTATCATCGTCCCACTCTACGATACTCTAGGAGCAGATGCGGCATCGTTCGTCGTTTCCCAGGCGGAAATCAAGTGATTTTTAAATAGCCATTCCGGTGAATTCCAAGCCAATACCATTTCTCCAATGTCTATCTATTCAGTGTGGTTGTGGTTGATTCACAGCTCAAAGCTCAAAACCTGGCATCAAAGAAGGAACTGATGCCGACGTTGAGGGACATCGTGATGATGGATCGAGATGGAGTCACAGAGGAATTCATCGAAGAGGTTTCCATTTTTTCTTGATCCCGTAAAGTATTGAGCTGCCACAGTGGAATGCCATTATTTATCCCTAACAATGAGAAATATAGCATGGGGCGAGAACGATCTGTCAAACGCCCCTTTTTGGTATCACAAATCACCGATTAATCACCGATCAGTAAATCATTGAACATTCGATAAGGTGGTCCAAATGATAAATGTTCCTCAACCAAAGTTAAGACGACTATGCCATCTGCCAAGTCACTCCAAAGTTGAAATAAGGGGGAGAGGGAGGGATTTTTGATGGCGATTCCAGGGTGAATTGCACAAAGAAAATCGGCTCCAAATCAGAAATATAACACTATCTGAATGTTTGTTCCTCCTATTGAAGGCCCCAGCATGGATATGTACAACTCATTGTCAGTGCTTTCGCCTCCTAGACAAGTCTGCTACAGACCAGGGAGAAAGGAAAGGCCTGGTCGGTCTAGTTGGATATCGACCTGACGATTGATTCCAGAAGGTGTAAGAAATACAGATGCCGACTGGCCCTTCCCACTTCAGCACGTAATTTCGATTCAATCCAGCAAATGGACAAAGTGACAACAAGCCGAAAGCACTATTTAACGATTCCGCGCAATCTCATAAATGAGTCACTCACTTTTGTGGAATAGTTCACCTTCAATTGAGCTCGGATATTTCATCCCAAGACTAAATAAAAATCTTGTCAACCAGGACTTCCATATTTAATTTTGGGCCTACGAAAGAGTTTGTGGACATGGACGGGTGCAAAGTTAAGAAATGAAAAATGATGTAGATGAGAAAAATCCGCTCTTCATGCGAGTACTTGCAACAGGGATGGGAAGGGACGGGAACGGCTTGAAGAAAAGGCGCGTTATGAAGGCGATGGCCAGCCAAGTGGCTGGGGAGATCACGAGTGGCCTTCTGGGGGAAAAAGTAGCGAACTCATACAAATTCCCATAAGTTTTGACTATTTTCTACCGCTTTTACCTTCACCAGGACTTTCGAATGCATTAAGTGCGCTACCTTCAGAGCCGTTTTTCTTTACATTCTTTCTGGGGACTACTACATCACCCACTACGAGCAATGATTAATACTTTACAGATGGTTTCAACTTTGGCAGGTTTTGGTCTCTAAGGGCAGTCGTAGGTGCAGAAAAAATTGATCGGTTGTCTTTCTCGATCAATCAGTCTCTCCCTAGACATCCATTACCCGAAATGTTCCCGAAATGGGATCGTAAGCAGATTAAGGGTTTATCTAGCAGCATTCGGTCACAAGCCCACCCGCTAGCGGTTAGGTACGGACAGGCAGGGAAGGAATGCCATTAATCACGATAAGATAAAATACGAGCCAAGCTCTATCAGTGAAAGTGACATGGGAGAAGAAAAAATGCTGACAGCATGGAGTTCGTTACGGCGATAGTGGGAGAAAAACTAGCCGATTGCGGGTTTACGCTGCCAACATTGGACTGACGTAGGAGGGATTTCTCCCAACCACTTTTAGGGTAGGATTCCTCACAGTTACTCAGTTACAACTACCTTCACCTCGAAGTAGTAAACAGTCAGCACCACTACTACCAATTCTAACGTGGCCAGAGTTTTTGAGCGCGACAAAAGTGAACTATAAACGATTTCAGATGAGAGCCGCGGGAATCAGAGTCACCTTCATGAAGGAACTAATGGAACGTGGATCTCAGAATCCTAAACCAAGACACCTACCCACAGAAGATGATATTTACATTATCTGGTATGTTTGAGGTTTTCGAACCAGCCAATTCGAATCGATTGCGAACCTTCATTCATTCAGCTACACATCTGGGACCACCGGCACACCGAAAGGTGTTATCATTACACATCGAAATATCGTGGCAAACATCAGTGGATGGTTATTCGTTATTGAAAAGTTTCTACCGAAAATTATGAACCCTGAACTGGTAATTCTTACTATTACACAAATTATTTTTTGTTATTCTTTCAATTTCTACAATAAAGAAGGCATCGTAGCACTCGTTCGCAGTGGGCAAAGAAAATTGTCGACTAAAGGTTTTCGTAGATAGGTAAGGAATGACCTGTCTTTTGAAATATTATCAGATTTCGCTGAAGGGTGTGGTACTGAAGAAGGAAGGAAAGGCGCGGACTGGCTTACAGATTCGGTGGCAAGCTACGACAAGGTAACCAAGGTCGAGATGGTTTGCTTTCTAGGTGAGTTAGGATGAGCTGGAAAGGTAAGTAGTCCGATGTAGGTCTGGAGGGCACGTTAGGGAAGGGAGCTCCGAACTAGAGTATTATCAACCAGTAACGCATCAAGGTCATTGAAGAGCCTGAATTCAATCGTCGTGGCTTTCTTGGCATCGTGGGTAGTCGGCTGAGACTGATCGGAACAGCATGTAGCGGCTGCGGTGTGGGCACATAATAAGCGGATTAAGTAATCATCTGATAAGAATACTTCAAGAAAACGAAATCAACGAAATATTATAATTTCTGGGGATCAAGGAAACTACTGAGAGGATGTATTCATTAGACATCTGGGTCAGCACAATGAACCAAAATGACTCCAAGGGATGGAAGTACCAATTACAAAGAAAGTGTCGGTCTAATGGAGTTCAGGAGGGAAATCCACCGAAAAGAAGCAGTTCAAAGTTTAGTGTCCATTACCGTGCGCTTTTTGGGAATCGTTGACATCATAGAACGTTTCAGCTCGTGATCTCCTATCTTCCACTTTCCCATATGATGGAACAATTATCACACTGGACATTACTTACGATCGGCGCCAGGATAGGCTACTTTAGTGGAAGCATACCGGTATGTGAACAAAACCTCAATTGAATTCGACATCGCTAAAATTTCAGTTGAATATGTTAATTCCAGCGACTACTAGAAGACATAAACATACTCAAACCGACGGCATTCCCAGTGGTTCCTCGGTTACTCAACAGATTCTACGATGCCATACAGGTACACGATAAAGCAAACCTTTACGCTTATTACCCGTAGGATAGCTTTAGACCCCGAAAAAACTTCCTCAGAAGCTGGATTTTTTCGGGTGACCCATTTCGTTGATAATGATAAGGAGCTTTTGAAATGATCATCTGCTTTTCGTTTCAGAGCAAAGTTCAAAAAAGTGGTCTCATCTCTCGGATGGTTTATAATCTGGCTTATTCACAAAAACTTGCCCTTCTGAAAAAGGGTATCACAACGAAGGATAGCATTTGGGATAAATTGGTCTTCCACAAGGTTCAGGTACTGTGATTTCAAATGTATCTGACCGATTTGTGAAGTCATAGCAGCAGTTTTGTGTAGACCGTACTGTTTGAAAATTGTCTTTTCCATTTCATTGCACTACTTACGATCTCGCAGTTCTTACTTTCCATCTCATCTTTACCCCTTTTTTACTCAAAAGTATCAAATTCTGATAGAAAACAAGAAAACCGTTAGCCTCGGAGAAGTGCTCCTAGAAAAGTTGGCATTTGAAAATACGGATGAGTCAATCGGATGGATTAAGGCTACTGTTCGTATAGAAAGCAAAGGTCAACTGTTATTTCAGGCCCAAATTGGTGGCCGAGTCACCACGATGGCCACTGGTTCAGCCCCCATTTCCGCTGAGGTACTGGAGACATGTCGTATAGCAATGGGTGTCACTATTATAGAAGGTTAGCAATTCTTTCATTGTGATTTTATCGTTCGTATATGTCCCAGGATTAGCCCGGTAAGCAGTCACCAGGAATGCCGGGGCAGGGAAGGTACAATTCGACTTTGGTAGCCTTTCTGGATCGAGATTATGAAAGATAAAGTAAAGCTTATTGTGGCAAAGCCGCTACAGAGCTTTCTACATAGCAATCCTCTGTAGGAATTGTTAGGCAATAGTGTCATAGCAAAAGTTATTATACCTTCAGGTTACGGTCAGACCGAATGCACAGCTATGGCCACTATGACATGGCCTGGAGATTGGACGGGAGGTCATTGCGGTGGTGTGGCCCCATGCTGCAATATCAAACTCATAGATGTACCAGATCTCAACTACTATGCTAAAGATGGAAAAGGAGAAGTAAGCGCTGTGGGGAGGCTGGGTACAGCCAGGTGTCAGCCCATCTACTGGTCAGCTCACTTATCTTATTGTGGTGTTCAGATCATGATACGAGGACCTAGCGTTACGAAGGGTTACTACAAAGACCCAGAAAAAACAGCAGAACTTTTTGATGAACAAGGATTTCTACACACAGGTGACATCGGAGAAATGTTGCCTAACGGAACCTTGCGAATAATCGATCGCAAAAAACACATTTTCAAATTGGCACAGGTAGTAGCTACAATATTTCAAGAATAGAACCTTCTCGAAGATTTAAAATTCGCTTACCTTCCGTGACTGAACGGGTGTCATTTCGTTTGTCTTCTAGGGAGAGTATGTTGCACCCGAGAAAATCGAAAACGTCTACATTCGAAGCCCCGTATTGCAGCAGATATTCGTCGATGGCAATAGCTTAGAACGGTAGGTTCACTCATAACAGCTATGAAGCAGACGAAAGAAACTCACCTTGCAGATATCTGGTTGCCATAGTCGTCCCTGAACCAAAAGTTATGGAAGAATGGAATAAACAGCACGGAGTACCGGGTCGAACACTCGAGGAGATCTGCTCAGATCAAAAAGTATGCCTAATTATTTTTATTATAGCTCAATTCTTATGGCATTCTTAAGATTTTGAAGCCTCCCCCACAGACCCGACATTTGGTGTACCCTATCAGTTCCTTCCCCGAGTTCGATATTTCACATCCTGGCTCGCAGCCAAAAGGAAGCCTACACTAGAAATTGTCTTTGTGAAAGAATTTTCAGCT